ACTGGGGTTCAATGGAAGTAAAGGGGGCTGGAGAGATGGCTCAGTGGTTAAAGGCACTAGCTGCTCCTTCAGAGAACCTGGGTTTGGTTCCCAGTACCCACATGGCTGTTAACAATCATTTTTAACTCCAGTTACAGGGAATCCAACACCCTCTTCTGGCTTCCATGGGCACTGCATGACACAAGTGTATTTACATACATGCAGGCAAAATATTCATACACATAAAATAAAAACAAATTGGGGCTGGAGAGATGGCTCAGCAGTAAAGAGCACTGGTTGTTCTTATAGAAGACCCAGTTTGAATCCCATCACCCTAGCACCTAACAACCACCTGTAACTCCAGTTCCAGGGGATCTGACACCCTCTTCTGACCTTTGTGGACACTGCATGACACAGGTGTACTTACATACATGTAAGCAATATACTCATACACATAAAATAAAAATAATAAAAATAAAATATTTTATAAATCAAAACATTTTAAGGAAAACAGGTAAATCTAAAGAGACTGTACTGGAAACAGTGAATTTATAGTAGTCAGGAAGAGATGAAGGATGTAAATTGAAGATGATGTATAAGGCATTGCTGGATGAAGGAATGATCTGGACAGAGACCAAAGTAAATTGTATTCAGGGGAACAGAGCCATCCCCCGAATACCATGCCATCAGTCACAAGGGTATATGGGTACATGCCAATGGCAGCTTTGCCTATTAATTGAAGCAGAATAAGTGATTCCATGTGGTGAAGGACTTTGAGCCAAATCAGCAGAGAGCCTGAAACTGAACTATCTGCCAAATTCTCCTAAAGTACTGGCTGGACACCCAGACTGGAAATGAGAAACTCAAGAATAATAAGACTGCGGTGGGAGGTGGAGAGACTGAAGGAGAATCATCATGAAATCTGAAGCCTAGCCGCTTGCTCTTTAACCAGCACAATCCCTTTGTTCCCTCATCCTTTCTAAGGGAAGTGAAGAGGTTTTATAAGACACCCAGTTTAGAAGCCAAGCCAGAGACTTTTCAGGGCAAAGAAACATAGACAAGAAAAAAGGGTACATTTCTTTATAATTTTAACAAATGCCTGTAAGTTGGGGCAGAAGACCTGGGTTCGAATCCCAGCTCCCACATGGCAGCTAACAACTGTCCCGTAACTCCAGTCCCAGGGGATCTGACAGCCTCTTCTGACCTCCACCGGCATTGTGCAACACAGGTGCACTTAACTACATGCAGGCAATACACTCATACATATAAAATAAACAAAATAAAGTATTAAAAAAATAAATTTTTTTTCAAATCATTCAAAATCAAAGTAGGGTTATTGACAAACCTATCTGTCACATTTCTCAAAAATAAAAATATAACCTGTTTAATAATACTTGGTTTTATAAGGTTTATGTAGATTTAGTGAAACTAAATGTAGCAAAAAAATTACCTTTTTCTGAGTCAATGTCTTACTATGTACCTCAGGTTGACCTCAAACTTACTGTGTATTCTAGGATGGTCTCAAACTCAGAATTTCTGTTTTAGCCTTCCAAGTGCTAGGATTGCAGGTGTGTGCCACCACACCCAGGTTAAAATTTGAATTTTT